ACAAGGGCAAAATAGATAAAACTGAAGTAATAGGAGGTTGAAAAGGTCAATGTGTTAACAACTTTTGTCGCCAATGGTAGGTTAATAGCACTCAATTTTCCATTTATTCACAAAAATTACTTATCAATTTTCCCATGATCGACAAATTTTGTTTTCACTTAACGCTTTTCTGGTAGGGAAAGGTTCATCTTCTAGGTTATCAAGGAAAGCGAGATCTATTGTTAATGTAAAAATATCCCTATTTCATTTTGTACTCTGTATTACATTGAGTACTTTATAATTATGTCATTACCTATACGGGTTTTTCCAACACGCATGTCTTGATAAAAGCACTGTTATAACTAAACGCACAATCCTGTCAAGTGTAGAGTTCTATCTTAACTTGACCTTAATATTAGATACCTATGGGCAAGATTTATCTTTGAAGTTGATTCGATACGAGTCGATTCGATACATCGACAAAGTCGATTCGATATTGGGCTGCGTAGGTTACTGGACTGCTCTTACTGAAGTTATATCGAAACGATTGTAATCGTAAACCAAGAGAAGACTTGGTGCTTTGTATGCTTCATTCTTCAGTTCTAAGTAAACGGCATCTTACAAGGTTGATTCGAAGACTCGTTAAATCTTCCATGTACAATAATTAACAGAAGTGTGCTGGTCCATAATGCTATGAGCACTGAAGTTGTAAGTGCTACTGAAGTATGTCTTTTCCATCTTCTTCGCCAAACAGCCATGACAGCCATGTTCTGATGGTGAATCTCGATCGCGAGGGATACGCTGGTGAAAAACCACTCAATCACCAACTGAAGACAAGTTGTTAGAGCAAAAGGCTCCAACGCTTCTAATAGAGAGGTGTTTTGAAGGAAATTGAACTTATACAAACAGCCGTTGACGGAAACTATAGCAGTTGATTCAAACAGCATGCTCATAAAAGTAATATCAGCCATTAGCCTCTCACGGCGAGGAGTGCGAAAACTTCCCCAAGGAGCGGCTGTTCTTTTCCAAATCGAGTGGCAAATATGATCAATGAAGACCATTGCGCTTCTTTCGATTACTTCCACAAACCCGTGAGTTATCCCTAGAATCGCGATGGGTTGTAAACTGCCGAGATCTGCTTGTAAAACACGAAACATTATCGCCGAAGAGCCGACCAACGGTGCCAGTAAGACATATGAATATCCCGGATGAATGTAATCCCGGTGAAGCCGCTGAACACAAATTCGTGAGGTAACCTTTACAACGACTCCAATTAGAGGCGCAAAGAGAGCGATTAATAGTTTGCCATTCATTGTTTGTTTATTAAAAGTTGGGTAGATGATCTCGGCCACCGGAATTGCAAGAATGATAATAGATACAGGAACAATTGCCACTTGAAAGAAAAACGTAATCCTCTGCCTTGTTGATTGTCGTGATAAAAAATGATTTGTTACAAGATGTATTTGCCAAGAAAAACTTAAGGCAACGAGAAAGTACAGTGGAAGCTTTTGTATCGTAGAAAGTTTAGAATGGGATATTCCGAGGACTTGAAAAGATACGCGGTAAAGTGCATCCAATAGCAATCCACAGCAGCTCGCTAAAATAAGTTTTTTTCTTATTCCCTTGATCTGATAAGGTCGAAAGAGAAATAGGACTACCCCCAAAAAACTATTATACAAGATGTTACAACACATTATATCTGATACTGATCTTAACCATTGAACTTTCACAGGAATGGATTTCTTTGGGTAAAATTCGCAGTTGTTTACAGTTTTGTACAGTAGAAATGAAATCAATATGTATAGTGAACCTATGACGGTAGCAGTTAGAAGTGAGATCGAGGCTCCAAAGTACATTGATTTCCAAGCAGTGTGGAGAGCAGATGGTCTTAATCGCTTCCACGACATTGCTCTATCTTCGTCATCTTGTGAGCTGTTTTCGTGTGTTTCTTCATTGTCGTCTGATGAGCATGCGTTTATGATTCTTACCTTAGGACTGCAGGCCATTAAATAGTCCAAGCTAGTTGCTTCTCTCTCGCTGTATTCCTGATA